GGAGTGAGTTGTGAAAATTTGTTTCTTGTTCTATTTTTAATGTTGTACCTTACAATTCAAATGGAATATAGAACTACGTAATAAGAAAGCAAGAAAGGAGAAAACACCTATCCTCATGATTTTTCCCGAGGGGAAGAGAAAGGAAAGTTATAGTTGGGAGCTTGTGAGGTGAACCTTCCCTCTAAGTAGAAAGATAACTTTACTGCGATCACGTTGAAGTCTACTCTGACGATGCGAAATCCGCTCATGGGTTCATTTTGGAGCACAAGTATTGCACATCCTGAGAACTAAACTTTTGCTTCTCGAATACGGGTTGAGGCAGCTTATAATGAAGGAGAACAAACCAACAAGTCGGTTGGAAATGGTACAGGGTCTCCGGATATTTGTCAACCGCGAAACCATTCTCTTCCTTCCTTCTTTCTTCCCTTTCATTATTTTCCACCCTGTAGAAGCTCGGTCTAAAGATACGAGGAGAAAATACCTCTGGACCTTGCAGCGGGAAAACATCCGGTTGTCAGAGGCCGTTGAAAAACAGTGCTGCATCAAGGGGCAATTGGGTAACACTGCTCGTGGGCTTTCGTTTTGTAATCCCCGTGCTTTAGTCTTTCATTCTCTAAACTGTATAACTTTCAGTCTACAAACACTGGCTATGAATGGTTGAACTACGAGGACAGTGGATCAGCTTCCTCTTCTGCTCCTGATGTGGTAAGATTTAACTTTCTGTTCATTTTATTAGGATGGGACTTTTTCAAGCCAAGCACCCAAAAAGATTTGAAATGACGGCACATTTTCTTCCATTAGAAATATTGAGAAAAAGTATTCCCACCTAGTGTCCCACAGGGTATAGATAACCACAAAGAAATTTGGGGTCATGCACCCCGATCCTCCTCCCTACGCTTGGTTTTAGGAAAAGTTTCGCTCGGCCTCACAACACTCTTTCAGCACCTTCCAGTAATAAACTGTACAGTATAAAGTTCGAAAGGGTGGCACACATATAAGGCTCATTGGATTCACTGACTGTTTGTGCAACACAGAAATGTAGGCGCACTCACACACGACGACCTTCAAAGAATATTGAATCTGCGAAACTGGGAGAAATGTGGAATCTGCAGAAATGCCGATATCGACGACAAGGGCAGATAGCACATGATCGTTCCCGAGGGGTTTTGGAGAGAATGTGATTCCGCGAAATTTTTCTGTAGATTCTGCATTTCTCCTATTTCGGCAGATTCTTCATTTTGCGAGTCAGTTCATGGACTATCTTTTTGCTGCTTCTCTGCATTTATCCAATTTCGTCGTATCTTCGAATTGATGGGTAGGTTTTTTCTGCCCGCAGTTTCGTCATTTCTTCGAAGTCATCATTTGTGGACGCGGCCTGTGAGTGATGTTTGTTGAGCAATTCTAGATTGTAGCAAAGTATCTGGCCAGTGGCTCTCTTCAGAGCCTGTAAATCGAAACGTTTTCATATGAATTCGAATTGTTCATCTGTAACTATTCACCCTAAACGGGTATGAAGTGCCGTGGCCAGTTGCCTTAGTTTGACCTCGCAGGACTCTTCCAGTCACGGTGCAAGATAATAGGGAGCTTTTGCTAATGGAGGGTAGTATGGACTAACATGACAGTCGGTTACTCGGCAGTTGAGTTACCAGTGGAGCCTTCTGTGTTGTTAGGCTGGAGTCATGAGATAATAAGTTATTACTTAGGAGATACAGGATCCGTTTCGGAAGTATCTGCCAATATATTACATAGTTCTGAGCCCTTGTCCTTGGTGTTGAATTGTATAATGGATTGGTAGATGAAAATAGCCAAAGCCAGATAGCTGAAAGTTATCATAGAACGAATAAGGAGCCTATCATGTCATTGGGCGTGAGTGCTGCTTTAGTCTACATGTTTTGTTTGTGTCGGAAAGCGCAGCAAAATATGGTTGTGCTCTGGGAGCATGATTTCTTTAATGTCTAACGTTACCATAGTTTTTGGTTGGTGAACTAAAATTCTGTCGACTCTTTGAATGATTCCTGAACGCCACCGCCATGAGATGCACAATAAACAGCGCCAAACGCCGCAGTTACGGCGAACGCCCATTTGGGCTGCGGATCGGGTGGCATTCTTGTGCTCACCAAGCATACGTATAACATGGGATGTTACAAAAAAGTATGGCTTACCAATAGCGATGCACTCACTGCTCTTTTCTAGCATGGTGTTGTCTTGAATACTCACAATTGCCAGTGGGGAACATGCACGCTCAGTTTCGAGAATATGGAAGAATTACAAAAGCATGCTGGTATGGTTTTATTTGAGAAAATTATGAACGTCCAATTTGCTGTTGAGAGATTTTTGATTTATTCCAGAGGCTCACCTCATTTCAACAAGTAGACAATGTCTTTGGCGAGGATGCAGTAAGATGGAAAGGCGATATGCCCACAGGTATGCGCTTGATTTCCACAGAGACCAGGAATTTCTTTTCCAATATTTTGATGTGTAGCAGTTTAGATACCTGCTTTCTCGACATTTGCGATCACACACAGGCTCCACTCCATTTGCATGTGATCAGTGCGGCAGCCAGTTTGCAACAAGGGAAAGGTAAATACTCACTCACGGATTCATTTACTTCTTTATTCGGATTTGTTTATTCATTTCCATTCTCGACGTGTGCTCACATCCTTTAAAATACCATACATATTCATTAATAATAGAGAAGGGCAATTATATGACGTGCACATGGGCTTTATAGCGGAAAATATGAACTTGACAGCTCGATCAGATTTTGTTCCTCCTCAGAAAAGGCAGTGAGGTCCTTAGCGAGATCCTGCTTCTTGCTCCAGAACTAATTATTTCTTTTGGAGTAGGGGAGGGGGGCTGAGGTAGTTGAGGAAGGGGAGGGGGTTACCTGAATGGGCAGCTAAGGCTCTTCGCCTTGACCTCTCCGCAGGCGCAGGATAATAATCCTTTCTTCTACTGGTTCAGTTTTAGAAGATTTCAGACGATGCCCGCCCCACTCCCATCCCTTCTGTGAAACATCATGGGGATGTGGAAACGATTCACCCCCCCCCCCCCGAAAGCACCAAGGCAGACAAATGGACATTCAGGTCGCTGTCACTAAATAGTGAAGACTTAGTGAAGCAAGCCGTGACACTTGCTTTGAGGCTTAAGAAAAAAATCGAATAGTGAAAAACACCTCGTCACGAACCCGCCCTCCCGACACTTCACGAGTGGAGTGACTTAACCTCCCCGAGGCCGCAAATCGCACAACTATGATGGTATCCTGACCCTCCTCTCCAACTTTGTTGGCACCTTTTCGTGATTCAGCTGGTATAAGTGAAAAATTGTCGAAATGGCTCTGATTTCCCTCGATGCTGCGCCTTTTTGACTCCTCATCCCGAATACTATCGATGGCTTTTTTCCATATGATTAACACATCGTTAGCAACATCACTAGGATAATCTTCTAGAATGCGATTACACGTCCGAGCAATACACACGCCAGAAGTGAAATACATGTGCGAAGTGTGCGATCGTCTGTTCAAAACGACAGCGGAGAGAAGACATCACATGACTCGAATGCATATGAGTAAGTCTAGAATTTCAAGTGAAAGAAACAGATGAAAACTATTGTCATCGATTTTCAGAGGAGCGTTTGGTATGCCGACACTGTGGAGGAATGTATTCGGGTAGATCTGTCCTTAGTCGTCATATGAAAGTGTGTAAGGGGAAATAAACATGTCGGGATTCTGTACTATTCTCTATGGTGATCTCCCGTTTAGCAGACGGAAAAATTGTTATTCGTCACCAGATCAGAACAAAACCCTGATTGCGGACTCCACATTTGCTTCAGTTGTAGTCTTATAGGTTTATTCCGTCGCTGCTTTCGTAGTCAGATTCCAAACGAATTCACTTCTGTTCAACTTGCTAACATAGTGCTGAGGTGGGTTCAGCTCATTCCTGGATTTTCGGTAAGGGGAAGCTTGCTGAGTTGAACGTGCTGGAAAAAGTATAGATAACTTTGCTCAAACGGTTCGCCGAGAAATTTGTCTGGCTTCGGTTGTGTAGCACTGCTTTTATTGAACATGCTTCGCATGACTATCCATTAGAAATGTGTACTACTCATAATAGAGTGCTATTTTTGAAAGTGTGGCAAGACAATCGTAACCCCCATGGCCAGCGACGCCGCTTGTCGCACGCGGCAAGTAAATTGTAGTTGCATACACGATGATCTAATATCAAGTTATTCTCGCAATGAGTGTGGACGGACAAGCGATATCATAATTTAGGCAGCGTTCAGGCTTGTCGCGCTTAAACGCGCGTTGATTGTCGCGCTTCATTTATCGCTGTTGCTTGTAACTGAACAACAATTACAGCGCTCCAGTTGTACCAGACCCCA